ACTTGCGCGGTTCCCACGTACGGTCCGGCGAAATTTTTTGGCTGTGTTTGGGAGGCTGTGGTTGGGAACTAGAGGGCTGAGTTTAAAACCTTTGTCTCGTACGTGCATAGAGGAAATCCCTGCAAAGTTTCAGCCTTCTACGTTGCCTGGTTCGCGAAATCGTTTCCCGCCAACAAATTCCTTTGGCGGTCTCTTGCGCGGGGTTTAGGCGCGTATGGGGAGAGATCTCAAAATGGGAGGATGACACACGGGGTAGGAACATATATCCGAAGTTTCAGCCCCCGTCTTTCCTGGTTGCCGAGTTGAAAGTGGGTGACAAAATGCACTCGCCTTCCGAACACACACACACAGACAGCCTCTCGACAATATGTGCTTTCGCTGGCTGTAGCAGCGCTGTAGCGCTGCTATAGCGCTGCACAGCAAAAACGCATAATGAAAATCAGTTACTGTAGCTTTTGACTGGATTGGAAAATGAACTGGTTTTTTTGCGCTTTTGCATTTTATGTGAAACTCGTTATGGTGAGGTGTGTGTGTTTACCTCCAGATATCGGTTTCGGAATTACGAAACTCGATAATTTCAAATTCTGAAATCAAAGTCTTCGACGGCGTGAAGAGCCACATGTCTAAGTTCATTGTAATTCTCCCAGGTGCAGATTTGGGATATGTGGAGTACGAGAACTAAAAGCCGCAGAAAGATGATTTTGAGGGACAGATTTTCAAACAGTTCAGGGAAATATAAGCGAGCTTACAAGCTCTGAACCGGATGTTCAATCAGAATTTCGTTCTGGAATGTGGTAATCTGCACAAGTATCTCGTGCAAGTATGACATTTAAAGGGTGAACTGAACTGTGCTTGCGAGTTTTTCAGTTGTTTCAAACCCATGTGCAGACGGTGATCCAGCTGCTGGAAGTGATGGCCAGTATCTGATCTGTTCAACCGGTGCTACAAACATTTGTCCGGCTGGGTACTGGTGCCACGTTGGTGCTGATATCACTGCATCGCTTTGCTGTCCCGGAGGTTCGTTGCTGCATATATTTTCTGGAGCAGGTAGGAAGGCTTGAATTGTTAGGAGATTTTAAATTTTTGTGCTTATGGCAATTTTAGTTTTCTTTATTTCACGTGCGTCTTTTCAATAAACACGCGATTTCGCCTCCTTCGTGTTAGTAGGGGTCCCTCATGAGTTCGTTCATGTGCGTACACATCATAACGCAGAGTACGCGGTTTGGAAGTTCAGAGCCGTTGCCTGTGGCACTCGTGAGTGAAATTTAAGTACCATTCATGTACGCATAAATTTTAGCTAATCCGGATCGATGAGAGCTACGAGTTGCGAACAACCATTACAAGCTATGCATTTTGAACGAAAATTATACTGCAAAAAAGACTTTCGGCCGATTTCTCAACTAGAAATGACGTCCTGGCCCTCTGCCTAGAAATAACGTTTTCCTTCTGAACTGCAGTCTTTAGCTATTTTTATACTAAATTTGGCACTTGAAGCTAATTAGTCTGTTTTTTGCATGCAATTTATCATTTTTAACAAGTTTTTCAAGTAGTAGTACATGTTATTTTCAAAATTTGATCCTACAAATCTCAGTGAATTCAAAACGTATCCATATAATTTGGTACTTTGATGCGATTTTCCCTGGAATTTCAGGGAAGAGCGTAGCTTGCATTCAAACTGTTGAATTTTTTCCGTTTTTTGCTTTACCTTTGCAAAACATGCTACTTTTTATCACACTCATTTTATTCAAAGCCGCCTCCGTGCGAATGATGTGTCAGTTCGACTCCTTGTCAGATGTGAATTTTCTTCTTGTGCACTGGTACTTTATATACTCTGAAATCGACCTGCTTCAGCACAAAATCCCTGCAGTCTTCCACTTTCGGAAGGTTCAGGAGCAACAGCGATACCACGTTGGTACTTCGATCGTCATTCACGCCAGTGTGCGACATTTACTTATACCGGTTATGGCGGCAACCAGAACAATTTCCAGACAGTGCAAGAGTGCCGAGAAAAATGTCCCGAGTTACAGTGGGATTTTTACGAATTTAGAGTTTGTATGTTGAAAATGAATTGAATCATGAAACGTGCAACAGTACTTGTACGTACTATTTGCCAAGGAGACAAACCACCTATTAGCTTTGTTCAAGCAATAGCGAGCCTTCTGTAGCTCATCCAGCGCACGTGCTATCACTTGGGCTACTTTTGAATACTTTTCTCTTTCGTAGAAAATGAATACGGAGGGGGATTTTAACTTTGGCTTAATGAAATGTACATTGTCTCAGATAGGGAAAATGGTTCGTTTAGCCGCACGAGGTTTTCATGCGTTTTTGCCCATATGCAAATCGCAAAGACGCATATTGCGACGTCCCTGTGTGTGTGTGTGTGTGTGTGTGTGTGTGTGTGTGTATTTATATGTGTTCGTCTGTCTGGGTATTTCAACTCGACAACCAAGCAACCTCCGGCGCCAAAATTTTGCTAGTGGTTTCCAGGCCAAGTCCCCTCCAGGACAGCGGTACCAATCCTCACGCACGTCTAGGCCCCGCGTGCGAGCGCCTCAAAGTTTCGGCGGGAAAATCGCCAACTTGGGAACCAGAAAAGCTAGAAAGCTGGAATTTTGGGATTATGTTCTCCGTCCATATAGAACTCAAAGATTTTAAATTCAGCCCCCAGGTATGCGCGTTTCCCGCGTTCGGCCCCATGAGGATTCCTGGCGCGAAAATCGCTAGCTTGGGAACCAAGAAAGCTGAAACTTTCAGCAAATGTTCCCAGTTCATCTACAACTTAAATATATCAAATTCAGCCCCTTGTTATGCGTGGTTGCCACGCACGGCTCCGTGAAAAATTTTGGCGGGAAAATGGCTAAAATGGAACTAAGGAAGCTGAGAGGCTGAAAATTTCAGGAAATGTTCCTAGCTCATCTACTACTTAAATTTTTTAAATCCAGCCCCCCATTATGCGTTGTTGCCATGTACGGCCCCGTGAAATTTTCTGGCTGTAATTTGGGTAACTCGGGAATTGAGAAAGCTGGAAACTTGGGATGTCAAGAGTATGTTCCCTGTCCAAGTATAGTGTGGGCAATTAACTTCCCGAAATTCGGGGACCAGTGTGTCAGATGTTCGTAGCTAGCGGAATTTCGAGTGATCTTATTACAGCATGAAACACTGTAAAAACGCATGATCGCACGGGCCCGCCCAGTGCGCGTCGCCAATGATATCATTCTCCACGGACGGCTGGATGCCGCGTATGGACGCTTTAAAAAAATATCCAAATTTTTTGGCGGGAGAGCAATCTCGGGCACCATACAAGATAAGAGGCTGAAACTTTGTAGGGATATTCCCTCTGCATGTATTAGTTAAAGATTTCAAATTCAGACCCTAGGTTTGTGTGGTACCCACGTAAAGACGTGTGAAAGTTTGGCGAAAAAATTGCTAACTCGTGTACCAGGGAAGCTAGAAAGCTGAAATTTTAGGCGGGTGTTCCCTGTCCACGTGCAATTTAAAAATTTCAAATTCAGCTTTCCAGGCGCGTGGAGTACCCACATGCGGGCATGTGAAAGTTTTGGCGAGCAAATTGCTACTCGATAACAGGGAAAGCTGGAAGGCTGAAATTTTGGGGAATGTCCTCTGTCCAATTTCCCGGTCTTAAGTGTTTTAAATTCAGCCCTGAGGTATGCGCGGTTCTTACGTACGGGCATTCAAGAGTTTTGGTGGAAAAATTTCATGCTATTAAACTGAAATTGTACATTTACTCTATGCAAAATTTATGGTGATTTACGCTAGTGAGCGCAAAAGGTAGGTGTATAGCAACAACCATTCATGCAGTTAATGACCTGAGTACTTCAAGTCTGTGCCTTTGCACATGATCGCACGGGCCCAACCAGTGCGTTCCAGCCTGGGTTGCTCATTGCCGCAGCGCAGCAGCGCTGCACAGCAAAGAAATAATAATAAAAGTGGATGATTTGACTACTTCAGTAAATCAGCAGCTTTCAGTCAGCTTCGTTAACCTTCTTTCTTTGCAGTCTTTTATCACGATGTATGAAGAATTATAACTTCAGCAATTTTGCAGGAATCCATGTTCAAACGGGGATCCAGCGGAATCAGACGATGGTACTATCTTACAATGTAGTGTGCGGCATCCTATCTGTCCAGCGTCACATTTTTGTCATGTCGGTGCTACCCCAGATACCTCGGTTTGCTGCCCATCGTACGGTGAACCATGCTTGTCGCCACTAATGCATGGAACAGGAAATGCTGCTTTAAACAGGTTCTGGCTTATTTAATAACTACTAATTTGGATACGACATTCAAAAGCGGCTGCCGGCCTTGTTGAATAGGGTATTCGAAAGTGGCCAGGTGGGAAGAAAGGAGAATATTGGGATTTGGAGCCAAACCCCAACTCCTTTGCATCCTCTATCCTGGAGGAAGGCTGCCTCTCGTCGTATATCCTTTCACGGGGTTACCGCTTTTCGCTCAGCCAGCCCGCACTGTTACTTATTCTTTTACAAGGTAGCTATTAAAACATGGCTCGACTCGGTTCGGCTCGGCCGGGTCCATACACGACCTGCGGCCGATTTTTTCGGATATCCTAAGTCTGCTGCAGCATAGGATGCTCGATGCCGCAGATGGGATAGTAGTGGAAGGGCCCTTGTGTACGGGTTCCGGCTGTGGGAATTGAGGTAGGGGGAGTGGTTCTGGTAGGGTGGACTGAGAAGTAATGTGATGTGAGAGCTCTCAGCTTTACCTAAGCATATGCTTTATAAATAAGCTTGTTTCCCTCCTTTATCCTGTCCCTAAACCCTGCCTGCAGAGTCAACCACTATCACCACTGGTCGTTCTCACTACCCCCTTGTTTCTCTCATCTATCTTGCTTTAATTCGTGCCCCCTGAGCTGTATCCGGGAACCTACAAACTAATTCCCCCACCATCCACGTGCAACTCCCTCCCTCCCCCTTCAACGTATGTGATCTAACAATAGCCGGACGCCGGATATCGCTACCTAGCACACTTGGCAAACTGCCAAGCGACATCGACGAGACTCACCTCGAAATTACGTAATTACAAAAACTCGGCTCGGTTGGAGATCTATGATGCTTTAGCCTTCCAGCGCTTTGCTCTAACATCTCTGCCAACACTATTTCGCGGCACCGTCCGCTGGAACTTTGCTAGACGCGCTGGGTAGCGCTGCCCAGTGTCTGGCGGCTGGATTGCATGGCCGGCGGGTGGTGGGTGGGAGGATTGGACGTGGTTGGGAGGTGTTGGTTGGGAGTTGCCCAGATACAGCTCAGGGGGTGCGGCTAAGGCCAGGATAGTGGGGAGGAATGAAGTTGCTGGTTAGGGGTTCAGGACGATAAACGGTGGTAGTGGTTGGAGGTGGTGGGTGTCCGGATGCAGCTCTGGAGGCAAGAACTGGGGACAGGGTACAGGAGGGAAAAGAGAGTGCTAGTTCAAGAGTTCGAAGCAAGAACTGCAGATAGCAGCAAAGAGGGAGGTAAACCAATACGGCACTACAAAGAAAAGTAAATTAAAACAAACCTGAATTTGTGAATAAAAGGAAAAAAAGCGAAATCAGTGAAGCTTATGCTTAGATGAAACTGAGACAAATAAGCTCGACAGGATTTACTGAAACTTTTGCTTAGGTGAAGCTGAGGGCAAATAAGTCCAATTGGATTACACAAGAATTGCAGACAATTCTGCAGTGTTACCTCTTGCAGCCTGCAACTGTGCACAACAGTTGTACTTCTATTTTTTTGTCTTCAAAATCTCACAGGAGCAGAAGCTGACTTCATCCCCAGGCATCCATTCTACTCTGTTTTTGCTCACTTTATGGAATTTATTCGCTCTCAACTTTACCTAAGCATCAGTTTCACAGATAGGAAAGTTTGATGACGGGTTTTTGTGGAGCAGCTTTCCCTAAGCATCGGTTTCTTAAATGAAGAAGCTTAATGACGGGCTTTTCTAGGACAGCTTTACCTAAGCATCGGGTTCATGAAAAAGAAGGTCCCAGGAGCACACTTCCTCGTCCTTTCCGTTCTTCACCGCTCCCCTCTCGCCTCCAAATGTGCGTTACTCAGTCAATCGACAAAAGATCTATGCCGTTCAGTCGTTATATCCATCTGTCCTAGCTCCCATCCCCTGCCTCGAACGAAACCCAACACATACTACCCCACTTCCACCTGCCACATTCAAACTGCCGCCATTTGCCGTGGTGCAGCCCTACCTGCTATTGTGAGAAAAAATTTTTTGCGGCTCGTGTATGAGACGAGCCGAGCCGAGTTTTTGTAATTGCCGAAATTACGTCAGCGGAGATGCAGAGTAACAGCCGAGCCCGGCTGTGCCGTGTTTTAGTAATTGTCCTTTTACAGGACAAAAGTCTTTAGCGTTCCATCAGGACAAAAGTCTTTAGCGAAATGTAAGGTGCTTTCTTTAGCTGTAGCGTTCCATTCTTTAGTTTTTTGCAGTAAAATGGCGTTAGTGCCTTAAGTTTATGTGTTGTACATGTCCAGGGAAAGATCCTAGAGGTTTTTTTAATCTATCAAGAATGCTAAGACCACTTGAACTGTCAGTGTAGGGATTGCTTGTTATTGGCGTTACCAGCATGTTCCCACACTCCGAGCACACCTCCTGAACTGCATGCTCCAGTTGGCACTCATCATCTGCTCGGTGTATGTGCGTCATCTCTTCAGGAGTCGCTCGAGTGGCCATTTAATTTTACGTGGGTACCACTCGCTAATAGACATTACCTACTGGTTGTCGGCAGGGCGAGCAGCATGTCCTGCTTATCGGACTTTACTTTCTCGCGTGATCACAATGATATCTTGTACGTCACTCATATGCCGAAGAGTCCGATTGATTATGTTGTCGCGGAAAGATATGCTAAGCATCCTTTTCGCTCCGTTGTTTTTTCCATCACTGCCATCAGTTTGTTTTTTTCTGTCATTGTAGCTAGCCTATCACCACTGTCGTTCCTCTTGCCAATACCGTATTTACGAACGTACTTCTTCCTGTCCTTCCTTTATCTTCCAAGCTTTGCACTGAAATCTCTCACAACGACCGTATATGTGGATTTGATGATTAA